ATAGAAATGATGACCGAAAATTAAGGGTCATCACAATCTAGCTTTAATTATGAACCACTTATGGATGATTAATTTGTATGTAGTGACTATATCAATGGATAACACAAATTTTGTGAACATAATTATTTTGTAATTTAAGAGTGCAATTCTAAAATTATAGTGGAGTAATTTGGAATTAATAATTTTGATATATTAATAAAGGTGTTAATTAATTGTCACAATATTGGAGCTTAAAATTATATTGTCCATAATTCCTCTCAATAGCTCCATAAGATTGATGTGAACTAAATATATCATATTAGGTTATGATTATTAATTTAAAATTAAAAAATCTAAATACACATATTAATTAATTTGAGTAATTAATATTAAAATTAATTTAAAATTCTTTTAAATTATATGGATGAATCTAGTCACTTTTTTAGAAACAGAGAAATTTTCTTACACTCTTAAAGCCCTCACGTTTCTCATTATGAGAAAAGATTTTTTTTATTTGGCCATAATGTTAATAATAATAATAAAAAAAAGCCACGATTTCCTTTTATATATACACATATATATGTAATAAACATTAAAAGGATAGGGAACGTGCGGCAGTAATGTAAGAAAAAAATGAGGGGTAAAATACCAAACAATACATATTGGATGACGAAGGGTGAATGGTATGCCATAAGTGTTATTTAACACGTATTAAATTGTAAGTGATGTTTTTATAACGTAGATAATATATAAAAAATAATGAATATAAGAAAAGTTTTACTTGAAAATTTAACAAGAAAAATGGTTATTTAAACAAACAGTATTTGATAATAAATTCACTATTTTTAAACCAAATATAGCACGAATAAAGTATAACGAGTTACAATTTATAAAGGATTAAATAGTAAAAAAAATAAACGGATCTATAAAAAGAAAATATTCGGACTGGTTACACATTTTTGACTTTTTGTTTCATATTTTTTTTTCCCTCAAAACTTGTTTTTTTGTTACTTTATCATTTTAAAACTATTACATACCGTTATTGTGTTAGATTCATTTGAAAATAGATGGTTTATTAATTAAGGAGTCAAACCATATATTTCATTAACTTTTGATCTAGTTTTTTAATTCAAAGAAACTCAGAAACATAAATACACATACCCACAAACAAAAATAACCCGATACTTATGGAAGTAATAAACTAATTACATAACTAATTGTAATTGAAGTCATAATTGATCAATAATTAAAGAGATTTTTTCGGTGAGGATTGTCGAGATTGGAGGTTTCATAAATATATGAGAAAGTGATAAAGTTTAAATTCAGAGAAATCAATGTGGAATGAAAACGGTAGGAGAGTATTGGATACAGCAAAATAAATAATGAAGTAAAAAAGAAATGGAAGAAAAAATAAAGCAGTTAAAAAGAATAAAAAAGTAGAAAATCATTTGTAAAATACAATGATAGTCAATAAAGTTAAAAAAATGAATAAAAAAAGTAAAATACAAAAATAATAGAGTTAAAAGAAATAAAGATTTAAGCGGTTAGGATAATAACTATTGTAGACAAATGGAGAAAAAAAAAAGAAAAAAAAAAGAAAAAAAAGGTAATGTAATGTGACGACCTTTAACTTTCGGTCATCATTTCTACGTTCATACTTAACATTTCCTATCTTCTACGAGTTTGAAATTAAAATTCAGGCTAATAATTTTTTTTTCAACGGTGGTAAAATTGATTCTAATACTCTTTGCGAAATAAATCTTCGTTCAGTGATTTTTATAAAACTCGAACATCAAAAGTTACAATCATGAAAACATTTTTAATTTTTCTTTTAAAACTTTGAACTTGTCCTCCTTCTTCGGGGACATGTATTTAACCTATCACCCATTACTGCTATAGCATTTAGATATATTAAACATACCTTGTGACTTGAGGTTACTATGCATAGCCTTATTGTCTCGTATACTCTACTTTTGTTACATAACTCGTGTGCATTCATAAAACATTATTTACTTTATGCACATAAAGCTTAGCAACGTTTCCAAAACACGTGATGCATCCCCTACCCACTCAGCCACATCCCACTACGACATCCTTTGTCGCGTGCCCATCAAACAGGTTTAACGAGCCGGTGCCTTACCCGAGCTTCCTACAACATGAACAAACCTAATGAGCTTCGCTCAACAAGTAGCAGTAGACCATAATAAATGCAAATAATAATGCACACCCATATATTCATTTATGTCATATGTCCTAACATGCTTCCTAAACATTCAATGTGTTCATCATATTATGCTTTCTTTTCTTTCATATTATGTTGTCTTTTGTTTCGTTTCATACTTCTTGACATTTTTCGTTTTTGTGTCGTTCTTTTTTTCATAGCTTTCAGTTGTTATGGGCCCCATCCCGTTGTACCGTTGCACGCATAATCAGTGAGGAGTAGGGTAGCTAACCAAAGCCAACTCACTCACAGTTTCATTCATAATCATAATAACCTTTCCTTGCCAAGGCTGGAACAAACAATATTATTATCTTCTTATCGTTTGCTATCTTTTCTCATGTATCATCTACTGCCATAATTTCATATTGTGAGAGTAATTTTAATCCTTTCATCTTACTGTCATTATTTCATATTATGACAGTAATTTTAATCTCATTCGTATAGCTTTGAGCATTCTTATCAATTTCTAATGAAATTGGACTTTGTTCAAATGTGTGACTTTTGTTGACTTTGACCTTGACTTTATCGTTGATTAAAATTCTACTGCTAATACAAGTCCATAAGCACACTCAAAGCAACAAATAAGTTTCAAGAAACATCTTTCACTTAATGACGTACAATGAAATCATCTTATGCACAGATTTGTAAAACACAAAGAAATAGTCTTGTTCGTGGTATAGACATAGAAAAACTACTATACTTACAAGGTTCTGCTATGGTCACGGCTTTCGAGTCTCCAGAAACCCTGCTTCCTTGATCGCCTATTGGTCCTATCATATAAATTTCTGATGATTAGATTTACAATCTAAGACCAGTAATTGAAACACAGTTTGATCCGAATTCATGGTTTCGTAAATGTTATTTATGTCGTTTCTAAAATCCTTAAAGAGATCTAGGATTTCATACTCGGTATCCAGACCGAAACACAGCTATATCATCAATGTGCACCAAACCTGTGCACATTTTAGCTCAAATCAAATTTTAGACTGGTGTGGGAAATAAGCCTGAAAATGATGTCTAGGTTCGTTTTTGGGAAAAATGCTATTTCACAAAAGTTGTTCGGAACGGAATTTTATTAAACTTTATGTTGGTCACTTTTTTAAACTAAGCTTTTATCTTAGTTCTCTATCCCAAAACAGCGCCGGATCCAATTTTCGGGTCAATAGCCTAGTTTTCGGTTTTGGTCCGAAACTGAGAATTTTCATCGTTTTAGGTGTCTACACGTCTCAAATCATCGAATCGAGTTACTTTTCACCTCTTAATCCTCCTATTCCTTATGCAAACCGGTTTTAACTTAAAGTCTCAAACTAAATTTTGACAGAATTTCGCGTAATTTTCTACATTTATCGAGCTAACTATAGATCGTTTTATCCGTTGTTTTCACCTTTAACACAAACCCCATTCTTTCTCATTAAAGTTTCATATATATATGTATATATATATATATATATATATGTATATACATATATATATGTATATATTTATATTCTCATGTGATTTTAATGGTTACTTGAATTTTTACCCATCAATGACTATCGTTATTTTAGCCGTAAGACATTGGTATACTGACTATCTAAAAATGATTTTCGTCTAATAGGTGTGTATGTATTAAGTAGAAGAAAGTGAACACGTTTGTGTATCATATGTAACAAAGAAAGTGACAACGGACTGCTTAAAAATTGCTGAATAAGATCATAACAAAAAAAATATGCATAACATACACGATAATTATAGTTACAGTAACATTTTACCATTTTCATATTAAGAAGTAACGATAAACGATATATATTAAGAAAAGTGAAATGATAACGGAAAGGCAATAGACATGTATAGATTATTATTTCTAGTCAATTTTAGTTTTACTCGGCTTCAAAGATGAATAAAACATGACCAAATTCAAATGCACAATTAATCAGATATAAGACTACATTTTAGAAGATATAAAGCATTTCACAGTTCATACTTCGTACTAAACAACATATGAAGATCAACTTATTAAGAGTTTAATTAATCTTATACATATACAAATCCAGAAATTTATATGTTCTAGTATAGTAATACAAACAAGCCGGTGCTCAGTGATTCTTGTGATGATACTTCATCTCCGCATGAACAGTTCCTCTATAGCACAAAATCAAAGTCAGATAATATCTACATTACGCGATGGGCTAATTAACTACAACAAAAGAAATTATACTGTGAAATTAATCATGAAACACGACGTTCTGAGGACGATCTAACAAATTAATTATCGAATTTATACTTAGGACACAGTGATTGAAAAGAAAACTTACTGAAGATTTCCTCAGACGGTAAGGAGTTCCAGTCTACTTGGTTTTGCTCTGTCAAGGAAATTTCATTACACCATGAATATGTCATATGTATATCAAGGCAAGATATACGTAATGCAACTAGAATCCTAAGATTCCTTTTCATGTTTGTTTCTTTCATGCTAGTCTCTTGTTAAATGCAAAATATTCTTGGCTATCCTTGGCTATTGTTAAAAACCCTTAAAACTAGAAAATTTTGATTTTAATGTAACTATTTCTGTAAAACTTTTAGATACTATACGATTATGGCATGATTATCTTTGTTAAAGTTCATAAGTAGTTCGTCAATTTTATAATCTGCCAAGAAAAAATATTTGGGAACCAAATTCCCACAATGCTCATAGGTCAAGATTAGCCATGCTAATTGCCTTTAACAATATTAGACATATAATTCACGCATCACACTTGTCAAAGTGGCTAAATCAAACAGAGCAATGAATGCTATACACTTTAAAATCACTTGGTAAGGACTAACCTTGCATGTGCTTCTGCATCTCCAACATTGTCTTCAAAGGCAAGAATAATAGTTCTCCGGACAAATGGAAAAGGAATCGAACATCTAGTACTTTTTCAACACTCTGAAAATTCTGGAACATCATGAATTCTGGTGGCATTTCTGAAAATCGAAGAAGCTTAAGGTTTCTCAAATGCTGGAATCCCAAGGGCATCTTCTTCAGCTCCGGACAAGGCCCAATGGAAAGCTCTTCAAGATTACACAATGCTCCTTCCTCTATTGATATCGAATTCAGTCTATTTAAAGACATCATGTTGAGCACCTTAAGTTTTCCAAAGGTTCCTACCTTAAAGTGTAGTTTCTCACCATAATAAGCATCATGAAACAATCCAATCTCCAAAAGATTTTGAAGGTTTTGAAGGGTTTCGATCAGATCATCTTCCAATTTTGACCAGGAAATGCGTATTCTGACTAGGTACTGAAGCTTCGGGATCCATTCTGGTAACTTCCCTAGATGGCCCTTTAAGTAGAGACGCCGAAGAAATTGAGGAGGCGATGACAAGCATTCCAAATCAATTTTCTCATCTTCGCGTGTAGAACATATGCTAAGGGACTCGAGGTGTTCCATTTCTTGAATACAATCGCACATAGCCCTTCCGTCTTCACTTCTCAACTTTTTGATGCCTAACTTTCTCAATTCTCTTAACTCTCTCAACTCTCTAAATACATCAATGCCAATTGTGTTGGCTTCAATAAAATATAACTTCTGCAATGCTCTTAACCTCCTTATTCCCTTCTGTATTTTGACTCCCCTTACGCTATTAATACTCCAATCTGCCTTCTCATCAAAATGATAACCTAAAAGATGTCGTAATTTATGAAGTCTATTGATCTCAGCTGGGATTTCATGCACCAATGATCGCTTCAGATCCAAGGTCTCAAGATTTTCCAATTTCCCAATTGCTTTTGGGAGGAACATCACTCGTGTTCCTCGAACACTTAAATATCTCAAGAAAAACAAGTTTCCAACATCTTCAGGAAGATTATCTAAGCTTGGAACGTATTCAAAATCAAGAACTTTTAGGAGCTTAAAATTTGTGGAAATGACACTTGGAAGAGAGACGGGAATTTCATCTTTGACAAAGACAAAAAGAGACCGAACATGAGATGTTTTAGAGAAGCTCTCAAAAGCATCACTAGAACTATGGAGAATTGATAGACGTCGAGTAAATCCTTTGAAAGTTGTATCGCTTCTTGACAAAACTTTACAAAAATGTAAATCCTCCATCTTTTTTACAACGATCTCACGTAAAAGATCATGGATGCGGCAACTTCTTGGTTTTCCATCAAAATCTACTTCTGACACTTGAACCAAACTTCTATTTATTAGCTCTGTCAAGTATTCTCCTGCAACAACTTCTAATGTTTTATCCTTCTTCTTGTTCACAAACCCTTCTGCAATCCATTGTCGAATCAGTCTTCGACATCTAATAGAGTAGTGCTCTGGGAAAATTCCAAAATACAAGAAACAAGACTTGAGGTAGTAAGGCAGATTATTGTAACTTAGAGACAAGATTTTGTCTATACTAGCCAAATGTTCATTACTCTCCAACTCCGAACTTAGAGTAGTACGAAACTTTTGCCATTCTTCTGGAGTCTTGCTTTTAGTTGATAGAACGCCAGCTATGACAACGATTGCAAGTGGTAAACCTTCGCATCTTGTAAGGATCTCAAGGGATAACTTTTCTAAGTCCGCCGGACAGTGCCCTTCAAAATCATATTGAAATGCTCTATTACAAAAGAGTTCCCAGGCTGTTTCTTGATGGAGTGGTTCCATGTGATGGATATAAACAGATGTGGATCGCTTACAAGAATTTGCAACTTTAACATCTCGTGTCGTGATTATTATACCTCTACATTGTTCATTTTTGTAAGGTAAAGCATTTTTCACACCATCCCAAAAGCTTACGTTCCAAACATCATCAAAAACAACAATGTAGCTTTTCCCTTGTAAATAATCTTTTAATTTTGTTGTGACTGTACTCTCATCCATTGTATCAATTTCCATAGGAACAGGCTCTTCTCTTTCCTGGAAGAATTTCTTCATCAACTTTCGTAGAAGCTCCGCATTATCGTATGATTGAGAAACTTCAACCCAGGCATGATAGTCAAAGCGTCCTTTCACACAATAATAAATTTGGTTGGCAAGGGTGGTTTTTCCTAGTCCACCCATTCCTACCAAGGTAATCACCTCACGATTGTGAGATTTATCTTCCAACCTTTCGATTAATTTGTCTCTTATAGAGTCAATGCCCATGACTTCGGTTTCCTGAAGAAAAAGAGAATCCTTCCTCGGATCATACCATGTAGTCTGTTGAGCAGCAGTTGCCAAGCCATTTAGTGTGGAATTAAAGCCATATGTTGCCCTCTTATCATTTATATCCCGTATTCTTTGTTTGATGTCTTTTATTTTGGAAGCTATGTTGTGGCGCGGTTTTAGTTTTATAATCAAGCAAACACTAGAACGGAGGAAGCCAATGAATCTATGCTTGTGGGGATGACGTTGTTGTGCCATTAGATGCGTGTATTCATCAATGACATCCTCGAGTTCAAATGCCTCCTTTCTAAGTTTTTGCACCCATATCTTAACGCCAATGCTGTTGCTTGTCCTTTGATCGATCTCTCTTTCTGCTCTTGTATCTGCATCATTCAGGAAGGCCGAAAGGAAATCTAGATCACATTTGATTTCCTCAACATCATTTTCGACACCTCTCAACAAGTATGCTTCTTCAGTCAGTAACGGGATCAGCTTGTCTATAACTAAGCCCACTGCAGTCTCAGCCATTTGATCTAAATTTTGTTATGTTCTTGTGCAAGGTTGCCCTTCACTTTCTTCAGTCAAATATGTATAGTCTGCCATCATGCACAGATAAATAGTTATGGAGTTTTGGTCATGTAGGTGTATACATGGCATATTGTATTCTTCGTTTACCAAGTATTCTTATTATATGGCTAGGAGAATTACTCACAAAGATATGGAGATAGTTTTTTTTTTTTTTTTTTTTTTTTTTTTTTTTTTTTTT